TCTTTTATTTAAAAAAACTCCATTAGCATTAAATCAATTATTTATTTTAAATTCAACAAATTTATTAAATCACTAATAGTTTTATTACCCTAGAACTTAGATGTAAATGTTTCCACTTAATATATCATACAGTGCATCGCTGGAGTGCCAATTTTGGGAAGAGCACTTTGCCGCGATGATATGAAACGTTTGTGGAAAATAGCTGTGTCATCTAATCCAGAAAAGTAAAACGAATAGTTTAATCAGTTACTTTTCCAAACAGCTATTCCTTGTAGCTTCAACCAAGCTTCCAATTGGGAACTAGCGTGTGCTGCAAATCACCTTCTAGTAAATGGTTTTGTAGGTTCAGCTAAGCTGCTGGCCTCGGACAAAATGCTCTTAAAGGGGACCCATTCTGCTCATTCTCACTCCGTATTTTTATTCTTGAACTCTTAAATGAGCAACGTCATACGATTCACAGTTCAAAATAATGCCTACTTACCGTATCCTGCTTAGTTCATGAAAATGATTTCCTTCCTTGACATAGTGAATAACATAAAATATGTTCGTGTGATAGAAAAGAAGGAAAAGCAAAAAGGTCCCCTTTAAGGTCAAGTTTGCATTTAATGGGAATGAATTGTTCATTGAAGTTTACCATATGATCTCTTATATTGCACTACCTTCCATCATCATATGTGAAAGGTTTTACTTTCCAACACAATTCTACTGAGATTTGATAAATTATGTTTTTTTATAGTAAAATGTGTTAAATATCCACAATTGCAGATTTGTTTTTCATACCCTTCTCGGAATGCTTCTGTGTATTAGTGAACTTTGTTGGCTGAGAAATAGAAAAACCTTTCACTTTAAGTGTGATTCACAAATAGTCTTCCGTAAATTATTTTGACAAAACGCTCCATTTACTCCGGTCCCCGTGAGTTCGGTCCCTGAATCGAAAAACGGATGTCTGTGTCTGGTGCACGCGCCGTCCTCTGCTGACGGAGAAGGACGATGAGGAGACAGATTCCACTGATACAGCAGATTTGACGGGAGCGTGTGAAGCAGCTGTCAAAGAGACTGTACATATGAGAGGATGAATAATTGATGTTCCGTTCAAACAGCCCTTCTGAGACATTATTGAGCTCGAGTCGCTGTCCTGAAACAATAACGCTCACCGCCAACTTACACCACCTTTAAAACTGATCTGTCATCTTCACTGCAGCGGGAGTGGGACAACCCCCCCCCACTTGGGCTCTCTGCTGGTATTACTGCATTCTTTGGTGGAAGAGTTAAGTCTTGTACACAATCCGAATGTTCTGTAAACATGATATTTACAAATGTGTTGAATACAACTTCGGTTTAAAAAAACAGACTGTGGTGTTTGACTTTATTTATGGCTTTATGGTTTATTTAACCATTCACATCACCGGTACAGCTGAGCAATTAGTGGTTTTATTTACAAGTAAAATAAGTGGTTCAATTATGAACTCTTATATAAATTCAAGGGCTGCTCCAGTGCAATTCACTGATCAGGTATAACATGAGCACTGACAGGTGAAGTGAATAACACTGACATTTCTTCATGATAGCAACTGTTAGTGAGTGGGCTATATCAGCGAACAAGTGAACATGTAGGTCCCAACGTTGATGTGTTAGAAGCAGGAAAAATGGGCCAAATTGTGATGTGACTAGATGGGTTAGAGCATCTCCAAAACTGCAGTTCTTGTGGGAGTTTCCTGGTCTGCAGTGGTCAGTATCTATCAAAATGGTCCAAGGAAGAAAGAGTGGTGAGCCAGTGACAGGGTCATCACTGGCCAAGTCTCACTGATGCACACAGGGAGTAACTGTGACAAGCTAATGTTGCTCAAATTGCCAAAAAAGTTGATGCTGGTTTAAAAATTACTGATAGCTCAATTGATATGTGTGGGAATACACAGTGCATTCCAGTTTGCAAATGGGGCTGCATAACTGCAGA